GACCAAATCGATTAATCACATTGCATCATGATTGAGAAGATATGGCATGACGCATCCACTGCACACTGGGTCTTTCTTCACTACCACCCACACTTACCTGAGCAACAGATTATCTGGCAGACAATGGCATTAATGAGTCTGGTGTATAATTAGTGAATAGATTAATTAGTAATGGTTTTGTTCCTCTAACCTGTTGAAGCTGAGTCTGTTTTTGCAGCAGTGAAGATGTATGTAAATGTGTGCAGATCTCCATAGTGATGGAGTGATGAGAGACAGCTCCTCTGATTGGCTATTTGCGTTTCTGTGAGCACACCTGGCTCTCTTGAGATCTGGAGCTCTTCCCCCGTCTCATTAAAGCACTTTAGTGGACACATGCTTGTGTTTGTGTCAGTGGAAAGTTGTTTTATTCCAAGATGGCGTGTCTGACTTTGTGTTAATTTGCATTTAATTTGATTCTTTCCCTTCACTAATGAGCAGGAGGTTCATTCGGGAGATACATCCACTGCTTGTGGCATACAGAATTTCAGCAAAGTCATAACAGCATCAGTCTTTGTAACAGAAAGGCTTATTGACATGTATATCACAGCTCTTATAAGAAAGAAGCTTAAAAATGATACCTACTCAGCCTTTTTGATTTCCTGTCTGCTTATACTTGCTCCTCATGTCACGGCAATGGAAGAAAGTCATAATATTTTGAAATATGACATAGCAGCAGTTACTCTTATTTTCATTTTCAACCCTTTAGCCTTTTTATGAAGGTGGAGATAAATTAGGAACATTTCTTTCTATTCTGGTGAGATAAATGTGTCTGGTTCTTGGATGGCACTCATTTATGTCCCAGAAATATTTAGCTTTTTCTTATTAATACAGATCAGCTTCTTTTACAGTGCCTTGTCAGTTTTTCTTAGTTATTCCTACAAATAAAACATGGTGTCTGTTCTCAGTAGGTTCTTAGCATTTTCTCGTTGTGCTTACTAAGTGGAGTGCACTGTTTACATGCACACCTGTATGCTAAATAAATATAGAACAAACTTATGAAATTAAATGAGTTACTCTTTTGTATCAAAAAGCTTTTAAAAGTCCTTTCAAATCACCGGCACCCTTAACTTCTTTTAGCTTAGCATTAGCTAACATTTGGCCTACTCATAAGGTTGATGCAGGGAATCTTCTGGGAATTAGCTGCAGACTTTGACCTTTTGTAATCTCCTTTGACTGGAGAGCACTGATGCTGCCACAGGGTACAGATATCTAGTGCATTGTCGACTGCTAAACCTGTTAGCTCTCTTTTATCTGTGTGGCACCTGGTTCTAACTCTAGTGGTGGTCTGTACTAGTTTATTAATGCTACGTCCAGATACAGGACGATATAAAAAAGATAAATGTTGTGTAAATCATACTCTTTTACAGTACCTGTGGCTCGGATGAATGATACAGAAGAGCGGTATGAATGTGTGTGACTCATAGTCTAAAGCGCTTTGAGTGGCTGTTAAATGTATTTTTCTTCATGTCGATGAGGCTTTCTTCGTTCAGTCATCCTCACAGGCACTCTGTTCACGCAATTATGAACAGAGGAAGGAGCCTGACAAGCCAAGACCAATTAAGATGCTTGTATGTAAAACAGGGGATACGTCTGTCGCATGGACATAGGTGGATCATGAAAAGTCTGACGTGAATAGCCTTACTTTGAAAAATAAGCTACAGACCAGTCGTCACAACAGACTCCAACATCACTAACCTCTGCTGTTGCAACCTACATCTACAATGACATGGCCCTGACTGACACAGTAATATTGGTTAAGATATTACTGAAATTTTACTACATCATTCATCAGGAAATTTGATTTTGATGCTATCACACTCCCCTCTGCAGATTCCTGTTTTGCATCTTATTTTTTTCCGTCTGCACTCATAAATCTTCCCAATCTAAGAAAGCATATTTGACAGTCGGCTGTGTGAACAAAGATTACCTGTCAGTTTGTGTGTGTCACTTCCTTGTTGTTTCTGCTTTTCCAGACAGAAGTGTTGTAGAGAGTAGAGCTTGTCAGTGCCTGTGGTTGGCACAGCTTAAGTATTTTCAATACGCTAAGACAACTCAGCTATAATTTTTTTTTTCTTTGATTAATCCGATAAGCACTTCATGTAACCATTCCAGTTTACAGTGGTTGCGAGAAAATGTTATTGCATAATGAGACTATAAATTGGTCTGATTGTAAGAATAGATAGTCTGCAGGAATAAAACCTGTGAATTAATATATTTGACCTCAGATGTCTTTTTAAGCAACCCATACAGTTTAACTTTATTACCACAAGAACATTAAGTTTCCTGAGACAGGGTGACATTATTATTGAAAGTTTTATAATAATTCTTACTTTTATTATAATGGCAACAATATGATTTTATTTTAGAGATGGACATATAGAAAAACATTCAGCGCACAGTGTGCTCATCAATAATGTGAATATCACATAACCGACCTTGGTTTTGCTTCTTCGTCAGCAGTTCTGTAATGCTGAATACAGAGGGAAAGAGACGAGAGAAAAAAGCTGATACTAGGGCTCATAAAGCTTGATCACGTCCTCACTGTTTCCTTCCTTCCTGCCTCTGTGTCTATGAACCATGATTTTCCTGGGAACTGTTTTGGCTGAAGAAAGTGCTGAAGACCCTTTAGTGGTCCTGGTTTGAGAGTTGATGTATTTGAGCATGTTAGTAACTCCTGCCTTAATTCATGTTTGTGCTTCCTGCCTCAAATCGTGTCACGGAAGCCTTGTGTTGATAACTGGTTTATCAAGATGCACCAGTGGTGTGGACCTTTGCTTGAAACTGATTTTGTATCATTATTATTCTAGTCAGCTCATGTGTTTAAAAATGTTGTGCATCCTCAAGCACATTAGCTTTATACCAAGATGCTCACAAGGGTTTGATTCCAGACATTTCTCACTGCAGCCCATCCCTCCCAGCTTGCCACAGAAGGCAGTGTATAGCTGGCTACAGGGTTGACTATGAGCGGGGGGGTTATGTCTGATGGCTGAATAGTTGGATTGTTCTGTAGCTTCAAATCTGCTGAATTTCTCCAGAACTAGAATTCCAATGAATAACAAACAAAGCACAGAGAAAAAACATCTGAATTTAACTCGATTAGTTTGGATTATTTAAATCCAGTCTGCTTTCTTGATATTATGTGATATTCCAGCTTTTTCAGAAATTACTGTATGTGACTCTAGTTCCCTTTGTGTAAACCATGGGTGTCTGTGTGTTCTCCTAAATGCAGCTGCAGCTGCACAGGCCCAAGCCGAAGAGCGGCGCAGCCTGACAGGAAATAGTCCAGGACCTACAACCAACACATCAGCTAAACCTCAGGGGTGTAGACCAGGTAAATGACACCACACCTTGACACAGAAACAGACTGGTTCTCACAAACACAGCCCTGTCACTACTCTATTGTCATCCATAATCCGAACCATTAGATGCAACACAATCTCTTCCACCACCCTCTCAGTGTGGCTTACTGCAGGTCAACCCTAGTCATCATCTTATTACTGTAACAGTTGATAAAGCTCATTAATGACAGTCACATGCCTACATCTGCTAAAGCCTTTGTAACTCTATGCTGCATTGTAATCCACTCCTGTGTTCATCATATATGCATTACCCTTTAATCACATGCTGTATACACATGTATGTGTTTGCAGTCATCGACGGTGCTGCTCTTAGAATAGACGACCGACTGCGAGTGGCAAAAGAGAGGCGAGAGGAGGCAGAGAGACAACAAGGTAAGATCCCAGTTTCTGTGTGAGATTAGTTTAGCCAAAGCTAGCCCTAACCTATTTCACTCTATCTGATGATTTCCAATTTAGATTCATAGAAATAACTAAAGCTGTTTGTTTTAAAACAGGAAATGATAACATTTTAATTATAAAGAAGACCTGCATTAGCAGCATCTTCACTAAACTAATTGGTAGTTAATATGGTGGATATCAACCTAGGCCATATATACAGTAGGTATTTTTTCTTTGTAGGGATTATTACAAACAAAAGGGATTATTACTTTGAGGCTGTTCACAGGTAAAACAACATATTAATAAATGACTTGTTTTTCCTCTGTCCATGCATGCACATGCTGTATGTGTGGTCAGCTTTGCGAGAGTCTCAGATTATGGAGCGGGAACGTAAAGCCAAGCTGCAAGTGGAGCGTCAGATGGAGGAACGTCAGAAAAAGGTTGACGAACAGCGGAGGAAGGAGGAGCACAAACGACAAGCTGTGGAGGAGAAGAGGAAGCAGAAACAGGAAGAGGAAAAGGTAGCTGCGGCTCAGATCTTATTGTTGCTTAACTAATATGACTTTTGTGACTAAAATAAATACATTTCTATAGGAACTCTGATTTTTGTTGCAATGTTTCCCTTATAGATTTAAAAAAGGGAGGTAGAGATTAAAAAAAAGGATATAGTTAAGAGCTAACAGCACAGTTATCATATTGGGTCTTGTCATCTTCAGTGTTCAAGGTTGAATCTATTGCCCTTCTCTTCATACGCAATATTCACTATGAAGTACAGAACTACACTCCATTCCCTTTGTGCTGATGTGTGCACAATAATACCACACAATGGAAAAAAAATAAAAAGGAGTGCAAACTGTAAAGTACAAAGTAGAGTGAAATACCATGAATGCTGTTTTATTCTAAATGACTTGCATTTTTCTCATCCTCTGCCCCCACTGTGCTGCAGGAGCACTATGAGGCAGTGATGCGGCGGACATTGGAGCGTAGTCAGCGTGTGGAGCAGAGGCAGAAAAGATGGTCTTGGGGAGGACTGTCCACAGACTCCGATGGACGAACAGGTATAATTCCCTAAAATCCTTTATCTTAGAAGTTCATATTTCTTTTTTGCTTTTCTGTTTAATTCGATTTTCATAATCCATTTACAGCGGCATGTTAAAGAGGGATGCTCTAAGAGTTCCTCACAAAAATTGTCAAGTTGACAATGTGTTTCACCATAATTGGGGTAAAATCCAAAGTTCCTTTGCCAGAAATGTCAGATGAGATGATTTAGGTTGTAGCTTCCTCAGTCAGACAAGGTTCCATAGAGAAAGACAATACTTCCTATCATTTCGATTTTTAAAAAAGATAGAGTACTGAGATATTATTTGATTGCTCTCTACACTGAGCTACAGAAAGTACAGCATTTTTATCTTCAAACCACACAGGTTGTTGAGATAGCATTTTTGTTGGTTACCAGATGATGTCTCAGAAAATTTTTAAATACTCAGCCCGGTGTGTTATTGCTTTAGTTGCAAGGTGTCAGATGAAGGCTGATGGCTGACAGCCAGGTTTCACCTTCTTCGATGATGAAGGATTTGCCTCACATTCTTGCATTTTATCACTCCTCCCTGAGAGCTGTTTTTTCCCACAGGAGATTCTGATGCCAGCGCCTCATCTCCAGTAACTATAGTTATCTCCCCTGCCTCGCCAGAAAAGCCACCAAGGAGTCGACAAGGTTTTGTTTGTTGATTAATTGTTAATTTGCTCACCAATGTTGCAAAACATAGCTTGGACTGGCACCGGTACTGCAAATAGCATGGTTATCCACGGTTCCTCCCAGCAACACCCCTCCACCCCACCAACACCACCTGCGGTCTAACTGGCAGTCTTTCACTAACCATTCTTGTATGTGTGGCCTGTGTTGTGAATGTGCCTCAGTCTGGTTGAATAGCTGGAATTGTAGCTTTAGGTTTTTTCACTAATTTACACTTTCCAGCACTTCTAGGTCACGAGGGTGAATTCGCATGGGAGTCCACTTAAATGTGCCAAACAAAACAAACGGGTGGTTAAACATTTGTATTTACAGCTTACTAACCACAATGCCTGGCTCTGAAACCATGATGCTGTATGGTTTGTCACAAATGCACATTTTCATGTTAAACATGATATTTACTGACAAATGTACGCTATATATCATGTTTTACAAAATGTGAATTAGAAAATGTGCACTGCATTGTTAACACATCAGATCAATGGATGGATTTTATGTAATTGTTTTGGGTTTATTAATGAAGGTCATTATTTGTGCATTAGAATAGGCAGAATTTTATACTCCCTCATGTGCACCCACATGCCCTCTCCTATCAGCTAGCCTCTAGTGTAAATCCCGCCTCCCTTGTCTGTCTTTCCTCCTCCCTCTTAGTGGACAAGCGCTCCACATCCACCATGAACTTGAAACAGTCGTCCGAGGCTGGCATCAGCAAACGCCTATCCTCTTCCTCTGCCACCCTCATCAAATCTCCCGACAAAAGTAAGTCCCCCCCACTTCCTCATTGCTCCCTATCCCTCCTACCCTTCTTCCTACTCTCCCTGCACCCTGCATTCCAGTGCTTGTGTCTTAACCAACAAAGTTTATTCTGTTTCAGCTAGTTAAATGTTTTTCTGTGATTTATCTCATGTCCTGAAATGTACCAAGTGATAAAACTGTTCATAATCTGGAAAAAAACTTCTTTTTTCTGTCAGCTCTTTAGATTGAACTCTGTCCTCCTCATGTCCAGGGTTTTGCACACAGGCTCACAGGAGCACAGACAGACACTGGTAAAATGCTTTAGCTTTCTGTCTCTGGTTCCAGCTAATGAAAAGTTAGCATCACCTCCCAATTCTGCTGCACCCATTCACTCTGCTCCTCTGCAAAGGGCATTGAATAAAAATTTTAGAATCTTGGGGTCCCAAGAACCAAATGGTAATTTGTTAATAAATCTACACTGATAGTGCTAAAGAGGACTATCACAATATTCCTTGGATTATGTTTCGCGAAAAGTATTTTTTCTTTCTGCAGGGAAAAATGTAATTGATTCATATCTCTTCACAGCTTCCAAGGGCCTGTGCCATCTTTCCTCTCAGACATCGCTAAACTTGCTTTACTTCCATACTCATTCAAAAAATGATTCTACCACTCTTCCTTTTCCATACATTCTCTCAAGTTGGAGAGACTTCTGTACCATTCACAAGAGACTGAAAATTTACCATTGGGTGTTTCATCATTGTCCCTCAGGTGTTAAGCAGAGGAGTTCGTCTTGTAACCGGTTGCCTAGCAATGTGAATGCTTCTCAGGCCAGTAAGGAAGATGGCAAAAAGCTTCAGGTGGAAAAGACAGGTGCCAAAGATCCGCTCTCCATCCCACACTGTGCTCTCATAACTAAGACGGCGAATAGTAAAGTTTTCCAAAACACTGCAGCTTATAAAGAAATATTTAAATTATAGATTCACCTCTGTCACAGCTATGATAACCACATAGCAAGCTGACTTTGTCTATGCCAATGGTTTAAACACTCACAACCACAGTTCCCCTACTGTACTTATGATGGTGTAGGGAGCATCTGGTAATTTGATCTAATGAGTTACAACTCTTGTCTATGTGTTTAGCCATCATCTTTGAAACTGGGGCATCAGCTGCTGTCAGCCCAAGCCTGGTGACTAACATTAAGCCAAATGAAGTGCACATGATGTGTAAACTGTCTATGGAGAGTCTTTGTCGACTCTCGTCTAGTGCCTGCTTGGCTATAATTCCACTTTCATGTCCATAGGCCATTCCATGAAGAAGAGAAGTTCCTCCCTCACTCGAGTAAGTGTGGGCAGAGCACAGACCCCTACCAAGCCTGATAAGGGGACAACGGATGATCAAGGTGGCTAGCATGAACAATCGGCAGTAATTTTCTTTATGCCCCTATCTACATCACTAAGGCCTCCCTTTTTGAATAACAAGCATGTGGCTCTCATATTAATAGCTTGCTCGAGGATCTACTGTTGGTTTTTTAAAGCCCCTAACAATACTTTCTGCAGCGGAGAGGCTTTCGGGATAACATTCTCATTTGACTCATTTCAATGTCATGGAGCTGAAAGGGTCTTTTGACTGGCTTGCTCTTCTTGCTATGTATTCACTCTGTCCCTCACCAAAGGGTCTCTCCACTCATTCCTGAATTACTGCCTGGGAAGCTGCTAAGCTTCTGTAAACTGTCATTTCCCTGTGATATACTGGAAAAGCTGCGCTCATTCCATGTGTTTCTTAACCTTTCTGCTGTCATACCCCACCAGGTCCTGCATCGTGCCATGTTCCTTACTTTGTATTTTTACCATTTCATTGTTTTCTTTTCAACCGTCGACCCAGCAATGGTTTGTGTGTCTGGACTAACACTAACAGTGCATTGTTTTGTTGTCACAAAGTGTTGATTGTTTTCTCCCTCCCAGATAACGTCATGGCTGGATTTAAGTCTCTGGGCTTGTGCTTCAGTGTGGTGTGTGTCTGTGCCATCCCACCATAGCACCCCCAGGGCCCAGAAATTATCACAGCAGCTCACTGCAGTCTATGTGTTGCCATTAACCACCAATGCTTTTGTTTGTCCCATAGCCACATCAGCTTCTTAGTGCTGCGGAGTTAAAAAAAATGTACTTGTCCTGTACAAATGTATGTTCTGTGATTAACCTGAGCAATAATACAACACAGCAACAACTATCATTCATACCGACCTAGGACTTCATAACTATAATCTTATCACAGACTAATAACCCACATGCTTCATACTGTGGTGCAGAGAAGCAGGCTCCAGGGTTAGTGCTCAGCAGATGAAAAAAAAACAAGTCTGTCGACAACAGATGTCCTCTCAATAAGGGGCTCCTACAGGAAGTGACTCTGCAATCTCCATTTGAGGAGGTAGCTTTTTATGAACTTGTGGCAAAATCAACCCGTCAACACTTTAAAGTAGCAACGACCTAAATGGGGAAATGTTGATTCTTTAATTTCATAAATGCAAGAGCTCTTTGTTTCTGCTGTGGAATAAATGTGGACCAGTGCTTTTTCAACATGCTGACTTGTTCAGTACTCATTGCTTCTAGAAAGGCTGTCGTTAGCCTTCTTATTTTAATTTGTTGATTTAAACTCGGCCCCTTCTTTATCTCAACCATGAAAAAGTTTCAACAGCCAAAGCTTAAGAACTCTTGTCTGATCCCAATCCCCTCTCCCTGTCACTTTTAAACTTTGGTCTGTTTCACTTTTCATTTTCCGACCCAATAGTATTCCTCTGCTGTCTTTGAAGTTCACTAATGGTTCGGTTTTTTCCCCATCAGCACACCTTCCTTTGCCTCAAGGGACCATTGATTTGACCTCATTTTCTACTTTGACTAATGTTTTTGAACTGATCTTCAGTTACCAGACAATCGGTTCTTTGGTCTGTCTCAGTACTCTTCCATGGTGTCCTTTTCTTACTGTCTTTCGCTGACAAACCTCATTTATTAACAGTACAAAAGACAGTTGATAAGGAGCCAATGTAAGATTATTCAGACACACAGTAACCTTTGGTTCTATCTGTTGATTCTCTCCTGTTGGTTAAATCACATGGTGACCTTTCCAAACTTCATTGACCCCCTTCTTTGTGTTGCCTTGTCATCCCCCATTCTTTCCCACTCTCTCCCTCTTTGCCTTTTTGTTCTCCTCTACTTTTCGGGTGATTTTTCGGCCGGTTTAGCTCGCAAGCCACCGGCTAGCACTGTGGACGGAGGGGTCCTTAGTCGCCTGCTCACCCCCACCCAGGCCTCACTAGCTAGGAGCAAGAGTGCCGCCGCCCTGTCCGCTGAAGGAACAGATGCTCCAGGTAACCTCCACACAGGAGACCCTGACAGAGAGGAAGGATAACTAGACAGAGATCCTGGTCCTCTTTGCTTACCCTTATTTTCTTTTCGTAAAAAGTGAACCCAGTCACTCCCAGTACCACTTCACTAGATCCAAACTCATCCCAGTGCCCTGGTGAAGATCCTCATGCTTTTGGAACAGTCCTCTCAGAGAAAACAGTGGCCTCTTGATGGTGGTGGAATCACAGACATGCAGCTCCCTGTGTTTAAAAGCTGCTATTGTAACAATCAGCTGTTTATCTTACGTATATACAGTAATTACTTGCAGCAAAGTACACTCATGTGAGCACGTATAGTTGCTATAGTAAATATTAAGACGCACACATGGTTCCAGCTCATTTGCACTCTCCGATCGGACACAATTGGCTGTTGTGTGCTGAGCTGGGCCAAGCAGGGCAGACTTGGCAGGGAGGGTTTCTCTGCAACTGAGGAGAGTCAGGGAGGCATGCTGGGAGCTTTGCTCTAAGCTGCTTACCTGTTGGTTCTTGTTACGTCAGAATGAGACCGTTGTGCTATTACATGTGTTCTCATAGTGACACAAGGGTGTCTGAGACTCCAAACCATGGCACTGAAATAGTAACTACTTGTATTAGATAGATTATACGGGTTTGTTTAATCACTCTTATCAAAATCAGTACATCCTCAATCTCTTGCTAGACATTGTAAAATGTGATCTAAAGCCTTCTAAGTAGGGTTTTCTGTCTCACCGAAGAACTTGCATGCCTTCAGTTTTATATAAACCATTTCTATGCTAAAATGGTTGTAATCTGCAGAACCTAAGCTTTTTTTTTGTTTAAGATCCATCATTTCAGACTCAGCATAGTCAACCATTAATGATTATATATAAGAAGACTATTAAGGATATAAAGAAGCACACTGTGAAGTACTCAGTCACTTCAAAGCTGCCACTGCATTCCAAGCATTGGTTTTAGGTTGTGATGTTTATTGATTGGCCATTTCAAACCCATTAGCAGCTATTGATCTTCTGCTAAGTGTAGCCCCAGTAGAAACATGACACATCTGCATTAGGAGCAGCAGTGGGAGCTCATGACAGGATACATTTCATAGTCAACATAGCTGCGCAGTGTGCAGTCAGAATGGATTTGAAGAACACATCTGCGATCAGGCTTCCGCAGGGAGAGTTCTCCAGGTTTGGGGATTATCATGGATAATCCCTCAATCTGACACAACAAGCTCAAAACCAGAGGACAACATTATTATCTTTAACAGAGGGACACATAGATGGCAATTGACTCATGATTTAGTTACTGTTACTGAACACAGTAGGAGACACGATCAACATTCACTGTGTGTTTTAGTTTACTAATATATCTGTGAAATGTGTGTTGAGTCCCAGTGTTGCTTGTACTGTGTTGGTGGTAGGTTTTGTATTGTGTGTGCTGTGGTGTGGTCCTTTGTGTTTAGGTTTGTTCATGTTGTACATGTCCGGAAGCTGGGGAGTGTCTGGGATTTTTGTGAGATTGTTGCATTCTGTTCCTCGTGTGGCCTTTTAATCTCCAGCCTAATCAAAACATGAGCAATCAAGCTGTTGCCTGCCTAAAGTGCTAACAAATCGCTTTTTTGTGCTCTTGTCCCCCTACAAAATTACTCCTATACCTTTCTTTCAACCATCATCTGGCCTCCCTTCCTCTCTCCCACTTTCCTTCTCTCTTTTCTTCCACTTCTACTTTGTTTTCCTCCTCTTTTCGCTGCTTTGCTGCCCAACTTGGCTGCTTATCACGCCTCCCATTGGTTGTTCTCCCCTGGCCCTTCGATCACTGTGTCCTTTACCAGAGTGTCACCTGTGTCCTCGCTCAGCCTCTGCCACTCCTCTGCACCCACCGCGCGGACCTGTGCGCAGTCGTAGCATTGATCGACAGAAGAGCGGCATGACCACCTCTGTTTCAGCCGATGGAGCCCTCGACCCTTCACTGGTGAGAACACCTCCTGACGCTAATGTCACTAACACCACTGGCCCACAGAGATCACCGTTCTAATCAGACATTTACAAAATACATAAATATATTTATGATGTTAATGACCAGCTGAAGTTTCATTTTACATTTAATTTGCTCACCATCCTCCCTGTTCCCTTCTCCTAAAGCTGCAGTTTAGTACATATATTGATGCGAGTATACATGCTTATCATACATCTGTCAAAAATGACAACACATGAGGTGACAGGTTGATATTTTTTCCCAGAGGACTGTTTTTTTTTTTCAGAATTGAAAAGTAAACTTGCTGGAAATGTTAATGTTAATTTTTATAACATTGCATTTAATTTGTCCGGTCACTCATAGTTCTTGATGACCTGCTGTCAGTGTTTTACAGAAAAGCAAAACCCTGTTTGAGCGTGACATCCACATAATATCTTAGTTTGATCATTATATTAATTAATGCACAATACATCTATGGGGCCAGAAGGACAATGTTGAATTGAACAGCCAATCAGTCAGTTAGTTTGCATTTACTGATGTAGTTTCCTGAGCTACATCAGCTTTAGCTTGAAATCTCTAATATTATCTACTTTTAAACTACAGAGTGATAATAGATTTACAAGTCAGTGGATGTGACGGACCATGAGAACTTGATGTGATCTGTTTTGACGGAAAATAAGTAAAGGTTTCATGAGAATATTATACTTATGCAGCACAAAGTAATTGCTGGAAAATAACACCACATTATGACAACTAATAATGAATAACCAGCAATATTAGTAATTTCAAGTCATTGAATTTGACTTGGAAAATATGGAGAGACTACTAGTAGTTAACACATAATTTAATTATTGGTATCTCGAAAGGAGAGTTGTACCTTTTCTAAAAGCTGACTAGAAACCAGGATGAGGTCGAAGTAATGACAAATGCACTTTTACAAAGAAGGGACACTGCTCAGAAAAATGAGGCTGGCACCAAAGACACTGATTTATTTGTGCCTATCCAGCTTCATTTGCCTGTCAAAGTATTTGAGCCGGATGCTAATGATAGGGAAATGTCAATCCCCCAGCTACTGTTTGGCCGTGCTGGTCACTCATTTGAACTTTCCTGTACACTGACTATTTTTTGTCCTCTGTATATCTCCTTGTAAACGATAATTCTAATGTTCGTACATGGTGCCCTGCAGTGCCCAGCTTTCTCTCATAACCTGCCCGCCCTCCTCCAGCTCTGTGGCTGTGAAGGGCCTCATTGTCATCGCATGAAACAAAGGGATTCACAGTAGTCAGATTATGGACAGATCATCTCATGCAAAGCAGACCCCACCCCTGATCCTGGGGCCTAATGTCAAAAGCCTTTGACTCTCATCGGCTCATTGTCTTCTCTCCTCCACATGCAGAGATTGGTGTGGAGATAATTTAAATTCAGAGGCTCATGCTCACCATCCGGATATTGGTTAAAATGTGCTTTCAAGTCAACTCAGTTTGGCTACACCCACATTAACATGTTTTAAAATGCATACTTTTGCTACGTTTACACCTTACTGCATTATTCTACAGTCCTGAACACAGAAACCTTTGGAAATACTGCTGGCCATGTTTTAATTTGAAAACTCAGTAACTCAGTAAAACAGTTCCACCCCGTCATTGGTCCAAGAAAAGAAATACTTACACTTGAACCGTCTGGATGTAGATTTTCAAACACTGTTAAAATGAAGAAGCATTTGTTTTGATGTAGCTATAGGCAACCTACCTACAGTGGGAGAATTTCTTTTCAACAAATAATTAAAAGTTGTATAAAAATGCAAAAATAAACTATAGGTTTTAGTCAAGTTTCCTTGTATTAATCCCTTAATTATAACAAGATATTATGATAGTTTATGACATTGTAGAGGTAAACAGATTTTACTGCTCTGTCCCTCATAAAGTGACACTCTTGTTGCTATATTGACATGAATAGGAAATGAATCTCTGTGCCCTGTCGTAAAACTGCAATTACGTTTACCGCTCCTTTTTTTCTTTCCTTCTTTCAAGAGGATGATAATGATCAAGCTGTGCGACCACAGAGGAAACAGTTTCTCATAAAGATGCAGAAAATGCATTGTATCTAATTGTTGCCTAGTTGGTAATTAGTGCATACAGGTTTATGTAGGACACTTGTGTCCATCTGTGTGTCACATGGTTGACCCTGCTGTGCCCTGTTGTCATCTTGTTTGCAGTGCCTAGTTTAGCACATGGGGATTGAAAATAGATGAATTAAAACCTAACCTGTTGAATGCAGCAATCTGTCACCATTTGATGTGTGAGTTAAAAAAGCGGCAAGAGTAACGATGAGTTTAATGCTCAGTTTATTATTGTTAGTCACGGTTACTTTGTTATAACAGACAACTTTGTTTTTGCCTATTTATGGCAGGATTTGGATTTTTGTTTAAATATAAGGATAATTAAGTTACATACATAAAAGTTCACCATGAGACATTTCATCAGATGAATGATAAAAGGGACAAATTAGACAAACCTAATATTTCTGCTGCCTTAAGTGGAGTACATTATTTTTGCATGTTTCTTTAGTAGTGCTTTCATCATTGAAATACTTAAAATGAATTCAGTGTTTGGTTCAAATGTATCTTGTCTACATAAATGCCATAAGCTGTCACAAGGGGTCACAAGTATCCCTTGCTGCTGTGAACTGCTCCCTTTTCAATGTCAATACAAGTCAAGCTCCTACTTAAGAGATAGTCATAATTTCCTCTCACACTTCTTTCACTTTTCTGTGGAACTACAGAAGGACAAGCAGGTAACATCGCCGGCAGGGCAGCGTCCCGCCTCCCCATCTACTACCCTGGGACGCAACCGCTCACCATCCCCAGCCCCCAGTCCAGCTCCAAAGAGGACCCCCTCCCCAGCAGCATCCAAGTAAGACTATGATACATCTTGAGTCATTCAGTCATAAATAAGTATTTTGCAGGATTAGATGAGGCCTCTCATTTCAATTTAATTTGAAGACAAAAGGACACAACTCACACTTTTTTTTTTTTTTTACAGGCAAAGTTCCAAGACCCGCCCACCGTCACCTAGTGCAATGAAACAACGTCCCCCATCTCCCCAGCCCACATCAACCAAACCCCCACCCATCCAGAAACCAGCTCTTACTCCAACAGGACCCCCTACTTTACGAAAGAGAGACTCCAAGTCCAAGGATTTGTGTCCTGTCCAGGCTGTGGCTCCGCAGTCCTCTGACAGCAGCAAGACCAAAGACAAAGATGGTGAGTGCATCTCTGTTTCAAGAAAACTGATGAATGTGTTGTTGTACTGTGTAAATATATCAAGAGTGCTTCATATTTGTAGAAAACTTAAAGTAGATAGGCCTGTATAAAGGCAGACTAAACAACCACAGTTCACTAATAACTGTTTATTAGTCAGCACCAGTATTTGTCAAGCGCAATCTCTTTGTTATTCTGACAACCAGGATGTTTGCATTGGTGGATCCAGACATGGTGTTAATATCAAGGTGCATGGTGACCCACCAGGACAAGCTAAAATCCTTTTCATCTGAAGTCAATGAATATCCCCTTCTTGCAGTCTCATAAATATACAAGTAACCTCATTGTTTTCTGACATTTTACGCTACATAATTACCTATGAATAACTGGGTCTCCCTAAATCTAAATATTATTGCTGCATTAGAGCTTCCTTCTTATCACTGACGTGATGACATAAAACAGCAAGAGCTCCTGGATCTACAAGGAAATTGCAGATGGAGGTTTGATGCGTGAAACCATTGTCAAATTTATTGAAAACTAAAAAGATTTGTTTTGTTAACTTTTAAGGCTGCAGAACAGAATATTAGAATATTTTTCCAGTTTAAATGTACTTATCTGTGTTTCATGTGTTGGCCAACTCTGCATGGGAACCAGAGTAATAAAGCGTTTCTTCCTTGTTCCCTTTTGAACTCCTGCTCTCTCTCTCTATATCATTATCTCTCTCTTTCCACACAAACACACACCCTCTCTGGCTGTCTATTAGCAGCGATGTATTCAGCTGCACCTTCACTGTGAGCACATAAAAAATTACAGCCTCTCTTATCTTGGTGTAATACTGCCTCACGGAAAAGTCTGTTTGGTTAACGAGTATTATCTGTTTTAATAGCAACACCATAAACAGAATTTTGTGTTTGTGTTTGTGTGTGTGTTTGTGCACTGCAGACTGACGTGGCAAAGGCTCAGTTTGCATTAAATCTCAGTGGAGCAGGAGACCTATTAAGTCCCAGCTGGAGTCACATCCTGTTACAGATCTTTGGCTGTTGCTGCTGCTACTGCCACCCCATGGACAGAATCATGCTCTGCAAGATCAAATGACTTAGTAATGTTTTAATACATGTCACCAGGCAGTGACTGTTACACAGTATACAGAGCACGATTGTCTAAAAATGAAAATGTTGAAGAACACACAAGTGATCAGTGAATTTCCAACCCTGACTTCATATGTACATAGTAATATTTATATTATACTTCAAATATGCACATTACTCTTTTCAATTGCTATATATTTATTTTTATTAATCCTCTATCATGGTATATTTAATTTGATATATCAATAGATTTGAGGATTTTCTCAAAAATCAATTAAGAAAAGTCTAAATTAAATACTTATAAACAACTCATTAATTAAAGTACTAGATTCATTTAAGTTTTAATCACAGTGTTGCAAAAGTCATAAAAGTCAAATCGTGCTCTCATACAGCTATTTTTACTGATAAGAAACATTATCTTGGATGATCTAATAATTTGTATTAAATGGTTATAAATTATATTACTGGGATTATTAAGCATAGGAAAATTAATAAATCAATTCAATTAATAATCATTATACTGCCTTACCCAAAGAAGTATTCCTACAAAGATTATTGGAACCCGAGTTTCCTCAAAGAACACAGAGATTATCATGTGACAGTTACACAACTCAGTATCAGGCCTCTGCAGCCAATCTGTGTTTCTGTCCTCTCTCATTAGTCATCCTCCAGTCACAGCGTCCCGTTACTTTTAGCTCAGGTCTGCACAACAATAAGAAATATGTGAAAGAATGAATCTCCCATATTTTTTTTTTTACACCTTTCAGACTCAAAGGGCACGACAGGAACCAACTCGGCCGCTGAGGCAGCCAAGATCCTGGCTGAGAATCGCAGACTGATGCGAGAGCAAAAAGAGAAAGAGGAGCAGCTCAGGGTACAGAAGGAGGAAGAGGAGAAGTGAGGAAATTACAATTACTTACCTACTTTGACAATGTTCTCTGGAGAACTGAAGATTTTAAGTGAAACCCAGCCTTGAGATTTGTTTGAAATGAGGTTGTGTTTTATAGTTATTAAAGGAGCAATTATTATGATTCTTAACTCCTGAGATGCAGGAAAGCACCGTTTGAATGTTCGCTCACCGACATACATGAACTTATTTCTGAGTTTGTTGCTGCGTGTTCTCATCCCTATCCCAGGCTGAAAAAGGAAGAGGAAGAGCGTTTAGCGGAGGAGGCTCGACTGAAACGTGTGGAGGAGGAGAAGAAGCTTGCAGAGGAGAGAAAAATCAGAGAAGAAGAAGAGGCTCTGCTGGCGGAGGAGGAGCGGGTGAGACTGGCAGAAGAGGAGGCAGTGAAACAGGCCGAGCTCCAGAAGGAACGAGAGGAGGCTGAGGCTAAGGCGCTGGAGGAGGCTGAGAAAGTACGTCAGGAGAGAGACCGCATCATGCAGCAGAACCAGCAAGAGCGAATGGAGAGAAAGAAGGTAAGCTGCTTTCAGACATGCATTGGACTTCTCCGGAGGAGGTGCATGTGAACGCAAATGTCCGAGTGAGACGCTCTGTAGATTCTGTGGACTTCATCCGCCTGACTTCCAAGGTGACACATGTAAAAAACACAGACGAAGATGTCAGCAGACATGATCATGTGATCATAAAGTTCCAGTATCTTTTAGCAGATAACATTTATAAAATGTATTTATATGTATAATTATATGTCTTTCTTTCCATTTCAGAGAATTGAAGAAATAATGAAGAGAACTAGAAAAGGAGACCCTAATGACAAGGTGAGCTCACATTCACTCAGTTAGTGTATCCATATTTTGTGCGATTAATTTGGCTATTTACAAGTTCATGGCTTTAATTTGGGGGTTTACTAAAGTAGGTTCACATGTCATAATGTTTATAGTATGCATTATTCGTCTCATACTCCTGCAGTGCCTCTTTTCACCCTCTGTCTGAAACGCTCTATTTTAGCTCTTGGCCGCCTTTCAAAAAGCTGTTTTCTCTGATTAGTCAGCCGACCCACTCTTTTGTGATTGGTCAATCGCTTAGACTTGCGTGTATTCAAAATGTCATGCCCCGTTTTCACAGATCATCTGTAAACACTGCTGTAGCCACAGTAACAATTTCAATGATTCTGCCAGAGCGATACAAGCGCAAGTTTGATATTGAAAGTCAATATGAACCAGTCGATAGACCTGAACCACCTTAAATCTGGATTACAATGTTTCAGGGCTTTGTTTTCTTGCTTATATGTTTAACATGTAGCATTTTAACTCTTTTACCTCTCTCTCATAGTGAAAACTTTATGAAGGCTGGCAGGTACATTGAAAGCTTAACAGAAAAAAGAAAGGAAAATCAAAAACGTTTTAGGCACATCAGGAGGGTTTTCTGTGGGACAGAATGACTATCTGCAGACGTTTAAGTGCACAAAATAACTTTGTGATACATTAGAGGAAAGAAAAAACAGAAAAACATGTTGTGGGCATTTTAAGTTTCTGAAAATCCTCTTCACTGAGTGTATATTAACATGTTTCTTATGTATTCCTGTCTTGCTTATGTAGAGAGATGATGATAAATGCTCACAGGACAATGATGATAATGATGATAATGATGACAATGAAGACAATGAAGACGAGGACGTGGACTCAGTAAACTTTGAAACAAATGGTAAGTGTCCCAATCCTAAGCTTTCACCTTAACTGCAGGTTCAAGATATCAGACTATCTTTTCTCATCTTTGTGTTTTGTTTCCATGTACTTGTTTGTGTAACTTTGAATTATTGTCTTATCTAACATTTGACTCATCTCATCCAAATCAATTTCCTCCATTGACGCCACAGCAGAGATGGATGACATGGCCATGGAGGCCGACAAATATGATGAGTGCGGTCTGTCCTGTGAGCCAGTGAAACAACGAGAGGAGGCCCTGGGCAGGGTGAACGGAAAACCAGAAACCGACGATAAGGAGAATAACAATGGCATAAGCACAGATGAGACCCAGGCAATAAGGTATAACTGCACAAAGTTCACACACCAGTAGCTGCACATTAACTCTCCAGTAAAGACCCAAATTTTAGTTTTTTATCATTTATTGAAATACCACAGCACTAGCTCTTGAAGGCGCTTAATTCCCACATCAGCTGACATTAATCTCATGTTTAACCTCAGTGTCTTCATCATCTATCACGTGAAAACATCAGATGTCCTCACAGTCAGACAGCTGAGAAGGTTCAGGGTCTGATTTTGACCACAATTTAATGTTTGTCCTTTGCCTCCTCCTCTCCAGTCCAGTCCCTAAAGGCCGCCTCGTCGAGGGCTCAGAGTTCCTGAACGAGCAGGACTCTGCTAAGGTGGGGTTGGTCTCAGGTCTGAACGGTAAATCCAACCAGTGGAGCTTTGAGGAACTGATTGACCTCAATGTCCACTCCAAGACCCCCCTCATCGAGGCGGAGGACTGTAACCAAGTCTTGATCAACTGTGACGGGAGCTCAGACGGGACCAGGGTAGCCTTCGAGGACAAGGGAACCCCCGTCAACCCCCTGCATTCCTCTAATCAACCCATAGAAGCCCTTTCAGGTGAGGGCTCCCTCCCTCACTCATTTATTGGGAATGTGTAACTTCAAGATAAACCATAACTGTTTTCTCCTGTGTCTCTGCAGAGATGTGATGCTGCAGCCATCCCTGCAAAGCCTCTCACTGTTGCACTCCTGAAGTTCCTATCAAGCTGAGCTCATTAAAAAAAAAAAAATTAAAAAAAGCAAGTCCTCTTTGGTTCCAAACATCTTCCTCCTCTTTGTCCTCCTCCTCTTCCAGATGGAGGAACACAAGGTGAAGCGGAAAGACCTCCCCAAGTGCTACCTTTGCACTGCACATTATGAGGAAACATATGTATTGAAATTATATATTTAAAAAAATATTCTTCAGGGAAATTCCATATATTCCTTAAACATGCTTTCTTCAGGTCTCTTTCCTCTCCCACTTGTGTTTAGTTCTTCTCCCACGTGTTTTTTTTTTCCTGTGTTGTGTCCAATGTCGATGTTTTTTAAGAGCTTTGTCAGGGGTGCATTGTTGTAATTTATTAATTTTGGCTTCTTTGTTATTGTAATTATTGTTATTATTGTTTTTGTTTCTCTTCTGTGACAATATTCCAGGACACATGCGTGAACTGACGATGAGGTAGACATTGTGAGTAAATGGAAGGAATGTTAAAATGGTCTGTTCTGTCGGGGGTTGAGGGGGCGGGTTGCATCCCAGGATTTGCATGTGATTCATCTAAATTTACTTGACCGGCTGTTTTTGCAGCATCCAGCAATATGGCCTTATCGTGTTTCCCAACCTCAACATTTTAAGTATGGACATACTAAATTGTTTGTGCTAAAAGCTCATACACGCACAGTTTAGCCGTCTCAGTTGGGAGCGGATTCTGTATTCATGCTTCACCTGGCACATCTCGGTTCTTTCACCACATTGTTTTTTCAAGCCAACCACACACTCGTCTCCCTGCTTCTCCCTCCCTGTGTTTCCTGCATTGGCCGCTAGAGGGATTCAGGTGCTCAACTGTAACGTTTGAAGCTGTTTGGTGTCGAGATTCAAAGTCGACACAGTTGTGAATTCAAAGGTTAGTTGAAGCCCGAGCAGTTTGTGGATTTGGAGTTTCGCAGTTCGTTTAGGTTCCATGTGTATAAACTGTATGTTTCTTGAGTTGTTTCCAGTTTTAGTGTCTAAAAATCTGAAGTGACGACAGCTGCAGCTGTTCCACTCAGCTGCCTAAAGAACTTGACTCAGTGACTAAACACAAGTGAAGTTTATTAGGCTCATTCATAGTGTCTTTGAAAAACAGTGTCTGTTAACTGACCTGAACTTGAATGTTTGGCTGTTCTGTCAATAATTTTAAACTTTCAACTTCAGTTTTTCAATTTTGTGCTCCATCACATCCATACACACATTTCCTCCTTCCATCCTTCCACCCGTGCGGCTTTATCATTAATCTCACTCGTGTCCCACTAACTTCCCTCGAAAACTTCCTCTTACACAAGCTGCTGCATCTGAAACAAATGCATTTCAACTATTTTTGATAATATACAAATTTGGCTTTTTGTTTGTTTATATATGAAAATACATTTCTACATATATTTAAGTGTTATTGTATCGTGTATATAATCAGTATTAGGCAAATGAAGCCATGTTCCGGTGGGAGTGGTGTCAGGATGTGGATAATTGAAGTATGTGTATGTGCTTATAAGATTTAGGGTTTCTGTTGTTGACACGTGTCCTGTGAGGGAAGTCAGGTTTGGCGTAGGGCATCTTGGAAAACTAACATTTAACTGGAGCCCTCTTTCAGAGCTCTGCAAAAACAAGGGGCCAAGCCGGGGCCCACTTTGTGTTTGTCGCTGTGGTGTGTGTCAGGCTTTCATTGTCCCCAAGCTCTGGTTTTGATTCAGTTATTGCCTCACAAAAAAGTCAACATTTTGATGGTGGGCCGAGCTCTTGCATACAGCCCTCAGCAACATGTCTGACCCTTGAAATCAGTCTTATCTGTGCCTCACAATGATTTTAAAGTCACTGAAATATGTTTTACAAAATATCAAAGGATGAGGAGATGTCGGCTCCTCCGTTGCGACGATGCACATCCGCTGAACAAAACACGACGTGGGGCCAGACCTGTTTTCCCGCATTGTTGTACTGTCTGTTCTGGATTTTTGTACTGAAATGTTGAAATTCCCGATGCTTGAATTGTCCAAGCACCAGGTTTGGGGACCTTGATGTTTTGTTTTTGCCTTGTTCTCTGCTGGCTGACTAAAACTGGCTTTCATTAATAAGCTCAAAGAATGTAACAGACTCCATAAACCGTCCTTCATTATTTACCACATCTCTCAAAAGCTGCCCGCTTTTAGCTTTCGTGTTATTATTCATGTAGAAAACACAAAACTCTTTGCACTGTTACAAAGTACTCGCTGCGTTTTAAGAATGGTAACATAAGAGTAGCTTTACTGTACAGAGCCGAAGGAGAGTTATGTGATATTCTGGAAGATGTCGTCTTGGCTTTGTGTTCGCGCTCAGAATTTTAAAAGTCTCATTCATAACCTGAAACTTCTACCTACTCACTTCTACACCCAAACTCCTCCCAGACCTCTCCTACCCCTCCTTCCACTCCTGAGTAGCACCCGATGGGGGCTGTTGTAGCTGCTGCTTGAACAGATACTGTATCTATTCCAGGTCCTGCTGCATCTTTTAGGGCTCAAGCGCTCAACGTTGTCTGATACAATAGGATAGAACGGTGCCTTAGATTGAGATTTAGTATTTTTATTGTATCACTTGTTACTAAGAAAGTTTGTCTTTACCTCAGCCTCGACAATCAGTTTACCCAACCAGGGCAACTGTGTGAATATTGAACATTTCTCTGAAAGATTTACAGACCTAACAACGCCCTGTTCAGAAAATACAATTTGTACTGTAAATATATCTAAAAGTGTACTGAGTTGACACAAACTGTTACAACAATAAAGTTTGCAAAAATACTCCTTTGCCATGTTTTATATTTATTTATTTTTATTCTTGTTTACACTCAAAGTCTTGAATACAGGAGCAGTTTATATTTCAGCATCAATCTCAAAATCCTAATGTGATTTAAATTCACTCTAAACATCATTTTAAACGCTCAGAATACATCCAGGCCTCAAGAGACGAAGCAGATTAATAATCAAAGCTGGTGTGTATGAGCAGCAGTTTGAAGGTAAACAGCACTTTAATTTCTCTGAAGATTCCAGTAAGGCACTGAAAATACTTCTCGTAAAGATGAACAGAATCCTGGATTAGATTAGAGTAATGGTACACGACACCCTGTCACTAATACAAGCTGCAGTAATGTATATGTCGATAAATGATTCAAGCTATAGTGCATATTGAGTTAAAATAACCCCTAATCTGTCCACTTCAGAAGAAGATGCTTCACCAATATTGACTCAAATTTCTTTCTGCAAAACTAAATTTTATGAGAAAACTTGTTTTGTTGCCAACTGAGAGTCTAAACATCAGTTTTGGTGTAATCCCACTTTTAAAACCGTGATATTCTCCACAGCTGACAGTGCAGCTCACAGCTTCTTGGCACAGTCGGGGCAGTGGATGTGATCCCCGGTGATGACGAAGCGCTTATTGGCCAGAGACAGGCTGCACCTCTTGCAGTTGAAGCAGTAATCGTGCCAAGAGTAGCCCTCGTAATTCACCACGTTGGTGCCGTGGCCGAATCCTGCAGAGACCACAGGAAAAAAACCCGTCAGAACACGGCTGGTCATATTTGGTTTAGAAGCAATATCCAAGCTGTCAGCACACACTGATCTGTACTCAAAGCAAATGTGCTTGTGTAATTTGCATCGAGGAAGTTTGAATTTGACTGTGCTCAGTCCTGTGGACTTATCTGTGTTATGAAATTCAAGATGTTTGCTTGGATAGCAAAAAAATTGTGGTTACACTTAATTTGTCTGTCACATACAAAAACAGCTCCTAGATACTCTCTCATAGAGTTTTCATCCTCATTTATATTTATATTTAATGTTTTTATATTGTGCTCTTAATTTAAATTTACTTCATTTAGAATATCCTCTCCCTTTTTCCTTGGCTGATGCTCTTATGACATTGCTGAGCTGACTTTTACTTCTCGTCCAACACTTTTCATTGTGCCATTAACCCTGCGTTAACTCAAGCTGGAAATAATGATGTAATTTATAAAATAATTTAAAAAAATAAAACAATGAGGAAAAATCACTTAAAATCGTCAGAAGCTTTTCTCTGTGTGCGTAATTGAAAGCTCGCTCCTTGAAAAATGTCCCATTTGTGCTGTGCACTGCTCATTACTAATTCAACAGTGTTTCTATTCTCTCTCAATGCTTGGAAATTATTCAAAATTACAGACTCATAAATAAAAAGATACCAGATCTATATTTTTCTGCTGTGAGACACTGAAGCTGTTTGATGATGTACTGTATATTCTGGGTGGGGGGGGTGCAGCTCAGATTATAAAATCATAATGTGTCGGAGTTCAGGAAAACACACTAGACAATAGCTGCACCACTGTTTTCTCATTCATCTCTGCTCACCTGTGATGGGGTTCTTGCAGCCGTGGCACTTCTTGGCCACGTCGGTCTTGTAGCAGTCCACGCAGTAGACGTTGTTCTCGAAGGACGTGAAGCGGATTCCTCCCAGAGATTTGCGGCAGGTGCGGCACACGAAGCAGTCGGAGTGCCAGGGCTGGTCCTGGTAGCTGATCCCCCCAGAGGTGATGGGCTAAAGAAGGAGACACCTTGGTGATGAGCTCAAACACAACACGACCAGACGCTCATTCATTCAGTAAAAAGAACAGTACGGTAACTTCACAACAGTAAAACTTTCACAATGATGCCATCACAGCTTGTACCTGCTTGCAGTGGAAGCATTTCTTGGCAAACTTCTTGTCGTGGCAGGGGGCGCAGTAGATGTCATCACCCTTGGTCAGGAAACTCTGTGTGCGGATCGGCTGCTTGCAGTCGAAGCAGGTGAAGCATTCCTCGTGCCACACCTTGTTCTTGTACTCCACGTTCTGCGATCCTGGAAACAGGATCAAATCCATTTGAGCGTAATGTCAGTCGAGTTTTCACACCTCCACAGCATATAGTTTGTCTCTTCTTCATTGGTAGTATTTTAGTATATTTTAATAATTCAGTTCTGAACTGTCTAACAATATATATTGTGTTCAAGCTTCTCTTTTATTGAAGCTTTGTGATGT